TACTTTAGAACCACACTTTGACAGAATAAGTTATTATTCTTCTCTCTTTTTCTATTGTTAGTCTTACTCTAACATATTAAATGTTAGGCCTATCACTTCTACGGCAGCACGCCAAACTTTTCCTTGGCCATTACTTTATTCTCTTCTGCTATTGTCTGTCTGCAGTTTCTGCTCATCTCACACTATTTATATGTTTATCACTTAATCGTCCGCCTGCTTTTTTAGAAATCTCTATATTCTCAACATCAATGTATTGCATGCAATATTCGATAGTCTCAACATCATTTAATTATAAACACAACTTCCAACAATCGTCTGCTTTCAACTCTCTTATTATAAAAAACAAACTAAACAATCATGAAATATTAACTCACAAAATAAGAAAATTAATAATATCTACACTAAACAGTCTTTTATATCATGACTATTTACAAATCTTAGACAATAAATAATAGAGCTGGTCAACTAGTGGAATTTGTTAATCATTCAGTCATTATCATATTCAACTAATAGATTAATCTCCCTTGAGATTTGGACAGTTGGATTTAATAAACACTAATTTCAGTTAGTTTATTATTTTCATGAGTCATGACACAAATTGATTATGCTTAATAACTTTGAATTAATTGAAAATAATAATGAGAAATCATAATGACAGTATTTTGATAACTTGGATAGTTCTAATAATCAAAAATATTAAATAATCAGAAACTTATTTTGATTAGTTATTATTTTCATGACATTAATCCATTTAATCAATAGTTTAATTAACTGGTTATTTTACATGACACTAATTGATGTAATAAATGCACATAGGTAATCAACTACATCAATTAAATGGGTTCATCCTCCAGCTATACTAACTGATGAAGAAATCAGGTTAGAAATGTTAAACATTTGCTGAAATGTTAATGCTAATGATGGTTTAATCAAATTCAGAAACACCCGTGTTTTTTATCCTATCAACCATTTTATGATTTATATTTCTGCCACGTATTGAACTAACTTTATGCTAACAATATAATTCCAACAACAGTCATAGTTTCATTATTAATAAATACAGAAGAATGAAAAGCATTGTGTGACAGTATCCACTTAAAAATGTAGATGTATTAATGACATGAAAATAATCAAGTAACCAAAATTAGTGTTTTCATTTATTCCAAATGTCTAAGTATGATTTCTTATCATTACTTGCAATCAGTTCAAAGTTGTTCACCAGATCCAATATGTTTGTTTAAAAGTAAAGTTTTAAGAAAAAATGTATATATTTTTAAAACATAAACAACTCATAT